TCTCTAACTATAAGACAGTCTGTAGACTGGCAGGTTAGTCTCTCTAACTATAAGACAGTCTGTAGACTGGCAGGTTAGTCTCTCTAACTATAAGACAGTCTGTGGACTGGCAGGTTAGTCTCTCTAACTATAAGACAGTCTGTAGACTGGCAGGTTAGTCTCTCTAACTATAAGACAGTCTGTGGACTAGCAGGTTAGTCTCTTTAACTCTGAGACAGTCTGTGGACTGGCAGGTTAGTCTCTAACTATAAGACAGTCTGTAGACTGGCAGGTTAGTCTCTTTAACTCTTTAAACCCTGATGAAATATGTTTTCTGTTGTCTTCAACCTTCTTGTCTCTCAGGTGGGAGACGAGGTGGTCGTCTCCACCAGCAGCTACGAAGCATCAGAGACAGAAAAACACCTGATCACTTCAGTGTCAGCTGACGGCCGCGTTCTGACCCTGAACCAGCCTTTGGGCCACACTCACATCGGTCAGTTTTATGTTCTGAAACGTGGCACTTAAAGAATCAGACACTTTGTTTCTACAGTCATTCTGAACCATATTTTCCCCCTCAGTGAATCAGGTGTCTCTGTCTGTGTCCAGGTGAGACTCACTCTGTCTCAGGTACGTCCTTCTCCTACATCCTGGCAGCAGATGTTGGTCTCCTGAGCAGAAACATAAAGCTGGTGGGTCAGGACTATCCGGACATGATGACCGAGTCGTTTGGAGCCAGACTGCTGATYGGCACCTTCTCCAGCTCTGGGATCAACTACAGAGGTGAGAAAACACCTGAAAATATAAAYATTTCTTCTTGTTTATCATGAATAAAAACTTTTATAGAACCGATGTGGACACGTTCTCATCAGTCCTTCAGAGGTTCTTAATGTTTTAGTTTCAGAGAAAACTTCATGTTCACTCAGAAAAAACTGTTTAAAGTTCAGACTCAGAAGGCCCTCGTGTGTTCTGATATCTGAAAAATGAATCGTTATCGTTAAATGAATTAAAATTAATTGTTGAATGAATCTATTCTTAAATTGGAGCAGCTTCTGTTCTTGTCTAAGTTTCTTGGTGTTTTCTGAAAAGAATGAATGAATCGTTTCTTTAAAAAGAATCGTTTCTTTAAAAAGAATCGTTTCTTTAAAAAGAATCGTTTCTTTAAAAAGAATCGTTTCTTTAAAATGAATTGTTTCTTTTAAATGAATCGTTGAAGGAATTGGTTCTTAAATTGGAGCAGAGTTTCTGTTCTGGTCTAAAGTTTCTTGGTGTTTCTTGAAAAGAATGAATGAATCGTTCTTAAATCAAGTTTCTTGTGTTTATATTTCTGTTTTTATTCAGCAGAACTGTAACTTGATTCTTTGTCCGAGGATAATCTGATGTCTTCTTCCTGAAGGGAAAGCTCAGATYAGGAACGTGGAGTTCTTCCAGTCGGGTCAGGAGGGTTGGACCGACTCTTACGACCCGCGGTACTCTGTGGCCTTCCTGGACCTGGGTCAGGTAAAGCTGGAGGACCAGGAGCTGCTGGTCCCTCTGCGGTGGTAAATAACCATTTGTTTGTGTGTTGAAAGGTTTCAGGGAACGAGTCGTACCTTCAGGGTTGCTCCTTCCATGATGGCTTCTCTCCGGCCATCGGAGTGTTTGGGACGGCGGGACTGAGCATCGATGATAACGTCGTCCATCACACCGTAGGAGAAGGTAGAGCCACTCAGAGTCTGTTGATGGGACAAGCTGTAGTCTGAAGCTCCTCCTGTGTGCAGGGATCAGGGTGTGGGGAGACAAGATCACGCTCAGGAGGAACCTGGTGATGAAGACTCTGTGGCCCGGGTCCTACCAGGACCGAGAGGAGTCCTCTAACGTCCAGTGGAACGCAGCCATCGAGGTTTGTCCTCTGAAAATACACAATCAGCTGATCTTAAAGAATGGACTGTTTCAAAGTAAAACTATAAGTCAGGAAGTTGTCCAAAGTTCACTCCATATATGGGCTCAGCTTCCTAAAGCCTCTCATTATAAAGAGTCTATTTTCAGAGGTCTGTTCTTCTACAGCATGATGTTTGATGAACMGTCTCCAGCTTCTATGATCTGTTGTGTTGTTGCTCAGGTCAACCAGGGCACCAACGTGGTCCTGCAGCACAACATCGTGGCGGGTTATGAGCGAGTGGCGTATCGCATCAACGGTGAACCGTGTCCAGGTGAGACGCGGCTTTAATGAATGCTGACAGTTTCCCGTCAGAGGTTAAAGCTAACAGAACCTCTCTGCTGCTACTGCTGGCTGCTGCTGCTGCAGAGTTTCCAAACGAGAACGAGGCCTGGGCTCAGAACGAGGCGCACGGCGGTCTGTTCGGCGTCTACATGAACAAAGACGGCTTGGCCGGCTGCAGCTTCATACAGGGCTTCTTCGTCTGGAAGACCTTCGACTTCGCCATCTACTTCCAGGTCAGAGGTCACTGCTCCAGATACTCACCGTCTGGTGTTTTTATAAAGGTTTCAGGGTAAAGTTAGGTTAACCTCCTCCTCCTCTGGTCTCAGACCATCATGAGCGTCGTGGTTTCTAACGTGACCCTGGTGGACAACGGGATGGGCATCATGCCGCTCGTCTACGCTCCACCGTCTCTGTCGCACGCCTACGCAGATAAGACGGTGCACGTTCAGGTGAGGAGGTTCACCTGGACGTAACCAACCTAACAGCTGCTCATCTTTTATTAAAACCTTTTTTTTTTTTAAACCCAGAACTCTCTGATCGTCGGCAGCAGCCCCAACTTCAACTGCTCCGACACGCTGGACGCAGAGGACTTCAACGTGGCCGTGAGCGCGCCACACCGAGCTCCCAGACCGCTCCAAGGTGCAGGTTTTCTTCACACAGGTTGTGTGCCGAGATATTCAGATTAATGAGGAACCTGTTGGATTTCAGCCTCATGATGGACGTGTTGGTAGAAGCAGGAAGTTAATGGTCTCTCACCTGAAACATCTTTATACTGTAAACCTTGTGCCAGCAGGAAGTGAATCTGAATGTGCAGAATTTGAAATTGAATGCACATTCAGATTCACTTCCTGCTGGTACATTTATCCCATACATACTACATCTTCTCTGTGTTTTGGGGTTTGTTTGTGCAGGAGGCAGATCTGGAATCTGCTGGCCCACGTTTCAGTCAGGACACAACACGGCTCCAGGTAAACCTCATCACCTGAACATGAACTACAACTCCATCAAAGGCCTGATGAAGGTCACAGGTGAGCATTTGTTCCATCATCTCTTCTGTCTCGTGTAAAAACTCTCCTCCGTCTTTAATTCATTGATTTGTTTTTTTAGACACAACATTTGTGAACTTCCGTTCCGTGTGCTCGGGTGAGATGAACTTCATGTTCATCACCAACCCTCTGAACGAGGACCTGCAGCACCCGGTCCAGGTCTCAGGCCTCCGGATGGTGGACGGCTCAGAAGATGCTAAAGTCTTCATCCACAGACCTGATCTGGGGTTGGTGCTTTCAGCTCAGAGTTTTTACAGCCTGATGAACGAGAAAAACATGAATCCTGTTTTTGTTGCTCAGGAAAGTGAACCCAGCGGACTGCGTGGACATGGACTGTGACGCCAAGAAGAAGACCCTGTTGAAGGACCTGGATGGGTCCCTGTTGGGCGCAGTAGGAGCTGTGGTGCCTCAGTCTGAGTTTGAGTGGGGAGGGGATCCCAGGAGGGGTCTGGGGGACTATCGGATCCCTAAAGTCCTGCTGACGGCCCTGAACGGCAGCAGGATCCCTGTGGAGCAGGTCACACCTAGTAAAGGTAAGAGAACCCACCTGGTGCAGAGGGGTTAGGATGAGCTCATCAGAAACTGATCCTAAACGCTGCGTTCAGGTGTAATCAGGAAAAACTGCACCTACATGGCCTCCTGGCAGGGCTACAGGTGCTCCGCTTTGAACTACCGGATGCTGGTCATCGAGAGCCTGGACGCGGACACGGAGACCAGACGTCTGTCCCCCGTCGCCATCCTCGGAGACGGCTTCGTGGACCTGATCAACGGTTTGTTCTGATCCTGTCTTCTTCCTGCTCAGGTGAAAGCTGTGGTTCTGAAGGTGTTCTTGTGTTCAGGTCCTCAGGACCACGGCTGGTGTAACGGCTACACCTGTCAGATGAGGCTGTCTCTGTTCCACAGCATCGTGGCCACAGGCCACGCCTTCGACGTGTTCTTCACCAGCGTCAGCCCGCAGAAGCTCCGCCTCCTGATGCTCAACTCGGACCCCTCTGAGGTGGGTCCAGTGAGTCCTGCTCAGCTCCCAGGTGCTGTTTGAGGTAGTTCTCTGAATGAATGGTTTGTGTGCAGAGCGTTCTGGTGTCCGTGTTCTACTCCAGTCCTCAGCGGCTGGACGTTTACGTCGACAACAGTCTGGTCCCGCCCACCAACGCTGCATGGAACCAGGCCAGAACCGACTACACCCTGATGAAACCAGCCTCTGCAGGTACGGTTTCTGCAGCTGAATGTCTAACATCAACCCTTCAAAGACCTAAATCCAGCTCTGGGGTCCCCGCAGACCAGTACGTTCCTCAGATGAACGCCTCTGCTGGAAACAACTACTTCGACCAGGACTACAAGATGCTGAAGGTTCTGGTGAGAGGCTCCGCCCCCGTGGAGATCAGAACCGCCCCTGTTCTCGTTCTGGCCTTCAACTTGCCTGCCATGACMGAGGCCGAGTTCTTCGGGGACAACCTGATCCAGAACCTGGCCCTGTTCCTTAAAGTCCCCCCTCTCATGATCCGCATCACAAACATTGTCAGGGAGGACGGCGGCGTGCGGCGGAGGAGGAGGTCCACGGGCCTGACGGTGGAGGTGGAGATCAAGAAGCCTCCCRTCCAACAAACCACCAACAGCACCAACGGTTAGAGACCAGGGGAGCTGGGTCTGAGCCGGTCCACAGGTTCTGAAACCATCTTTGTTTTTCAGATGAGGACTTCCAGCTGCTGAGGACCATCGCTGATGATCTGGGTCAGGCTGCGGTCTCTGGAAACCTCAGCCAGTCCATCGGCTTCAACGTGTCCACTGTGGGCATCGTCCCTCCACCTCCTTCGTCCTCAGACCCGAGCTGGAGCGAGGTGAGCCGGATCCACGCCCGTCCTGCTGGTTCTGGTCCTGATGAGGCGTCTCTGAGCTTCAGGTTAATAAAAAGTTTTTAACCTGCAGGTGGCTGGAGAAGACGTGAGCAGAGACCAGCCCACGGTGAGCTACGTGTCCGGAGTCTCCCACCTGCTGCTCGTGGTGGACCCCACACCTGGTCAGTTTGTTGGTCCTCTGTCCCAGCAGCCCAGCCTGAAGGCTGTGGACGAGCAGGTGAGTCCATCAAGTCCTGCTTCTGATAAGTTATTTGTAGTCTTGATAGGTCATGTGATCATGTGACCCTCTGACCTGATCAGGTCATGATGAGGTCATGTGACCCAGGCTGTGTGTTTCAGGGGAACTGTGTCTCGGTGGGAGTGACGTCTCTCACTGTAACAGCCGGTCTGAAGAACTCCAGTGGGGACCCGGTGTTTGGACTGGACGGGAACACCACCATCCTGTTCAGGAGCTGCTGGGCCAACTTCTCAGACCTGTCCATCGTCAGCGGCGGTGCGTTTGTGTTCCTCCTCCAGATGAAGTCAACGTTCTGATCCGTCAGCAGAGCTCAGTAACAGCTGATCTTCTGTCTGCAGGGGACAACCTGACCATGGTCTTCACCATGAAGGACTGGGGGGCCCAGTCTGGGACCTTCACTGTCAGAACCCTTGTCCCCACACAGGCCCCGACGCCCTCCACCACCACCACGGAGGCTCCGCCCTCCACCACCACCACGGAGGCTCCGCCCTCCACCACCACCACGGAGGCTCCGCCCACCACCACAGAGGCTCCGCCCACCACCACCACCACCACGGAGACTCCGCCCACCACTGATGACAGCATCTTCAGCTCCGGCGCCTCGCTGTCGGCCGGTGGTCTGTTCCTCATCAGTGTGGTGGTCTGCTGCTTCGCCAGCCTCCCCATCTGTTAGAGGTTCTACACCTGACACGGGCCAGACCGGTTCCTGAGGTCCAGATCCTGGTTTTAGTCTGATCCAGACACGATGTTAACACTTCATGTTTAAATATAATAAAACCTGTTTGATTTATTGAAGGAAATCTTTTTATTTCATTTTGGATCATAGTTTAGAACCTGAGAACTTCCTGTTTATAAAGGTTCTGATCCAAACAGCCAGTACATCAATTATTATATCACATATTCTTTATATTTTATTTTCAAGGCAGAATGTTGGGTTGTTTATTTAAATATAAATTTAAGGTTTAATCAATATTTGTAAAATTATTGTTTCGTTTTATCAAATGATTTCTATAAAATTATGTTTTCAATAAATTCAGATTTTCATGAAAATCACATGTTAAATTGTTTTTATTTCTGAATCAGGACCTGATCGACTCCAGAGATTATAAATTGGACCCCCCAATAATAAAGTTCAGAAATATAAAATTTAAAGTAATGTCAAACTGCGAAGAGAAAACTACATAATTTTTATAGACAAGATGATGATTTTATGTCTTCTGATAATTAGGAACAAAAAACATGTATTTTCAGAATAATTCATAAAAGCATATTAATTTACTCAAAATCCTAGCTATATTAATAAATATATGTATATTTAAACACAAATACTGTAAAATGTGTTGTTTGGGAAGTGGGTGGTAACATGTAGCATGCAGAATATGTATTTGCTGACCCTGACCAGAGGACACCTGTGGTTCTGTCTACAGGACACACCTGGGTTTAGTGTCCCCGTGGTCCGGACCCTCACCTGGTCTTTTCTGACCCACAGTGGGGTCCGGATCCCAACTTGTCCACTGAAGTGGTTTTCTGCTCAAACCCAACAGCCTCAGCTTGGTTCTGATCCAGATCTAACCTGGGTTTCTGGACCCAGGTGCAGCAGGAGGGTCAGACCTGAGTCTCTGTCCGTGGTTCTGAAGGCTCTGATTGGCTGCAGGGTTCTGGTCTGACTTTAGGACCGGTTCTTTGTTTCTCCACCAGATGGCGCACCAGATGAACACAGATCAACCGGGTCAGATCAACCAGGTCAGATCAACCGGGTCAGGTCCAATAAAACCTGCTGAAGTGATAAAGTTCTGCAGAACCAAACATCTGATGGTCTGGGTCTCAGATCTGGACCTGACAGGACTTTTCAGGTCCACGGATTCACTTCAGACCCTCAGCTCAGAATGTGGGCGTGTTCTGACCCGCTTCTCTGTGAATGTGGACCTCCTCTCCCTCTGCTCTGTGTCACAGTCCAGTCCGGTCCGGTCTGGAGCTCAGAGGATGGATTTCTGTCTTGTTGCGTCTCTCTGTGGGGTTCTGCTGGTTCTGTTGGACCTTTGTCCTCCTGCTGCCCTGCAGAGCATCGCGGCTCCAGAACCTCCTGACTTCATGCTGTCCATGTACAGAACCTTGTCCTCAGCAGAGACACTGGGTCTGAACACCAGCCTGTTCCGCTCCTCCGAGGCCGCCGACACCATCATCAGCTTTGTGGACCGGGGACAAGGTTTGTGTCTTACCTTACTGCAAACAGAACCTGTTGGTCCTGCTAGGTCTGGACTGGACCTGAGGACAGACAAGGTCCAACAATGTTCTGATGGTTCRGGTTTAAAGTCGAACTGGTTGTTTAAAAGTTGAAATAATTAGATAATTATGATTCAAACTGTTCAGAACAATTAGATTTATTTTTCTCTGTAATGAAATCATCTGAACATGTTTGTATAAAACGTGGCTGAGAGCTTCTGTGGTGTTTAAACTGCCACAGCTGGGTTACCGGGTCGGCTCAGATGCTGCAGAACCAGGAGGTTCTGATAGAAACAGGTCAGGAGTTTTCACTCTTTTTTATTATTCGAAACAAAATGTAGAAAAACTTAAAAAAACACATGGTTCCTGCGGGGTCTTAAAGTCTAAAAAGGTCTAAGTTTTAAAGTACCTGTGATGGCAAATATTTGTATCACATATGAATGTTTTTTATAAAGAGGACATTAATAAAATATTGTAAAATAAATTTCATGTGGCTGAGATGAACAGTTGTTGAGATATTTACCTGTGAAGTAACAGGAAGTGATGTCACAGGGGAATGTCTGCGTGTGAACAGAGCTTTGCTAACAGCTAACAGCTAACAGCTAACAGACTGCAGAGAAGAATCTGATGTTTCTGTAGATTATTTCTGACCCATCATATCAAAATGAGGATTAAATCAAATTAGGTCAAAATGACCTAACGACATTTTCAGATTCTTGTCTTTAAAAGCTACATTTTGATACCTGGATCATCCTGACATCATAATTAAATCCATATATATGACTTAATTTGTCTTGTTGGTTACAATAATACATAAATATTTGGTCTGAATCTTAATTTGATGTTAGTTTAATGAGGAATTTTTGATGTTAATATAAAAAGTAAACCTTAAATAGTATCCTTATATTAAGATTTCCC